GCTATGTACCTACTATGACCTAAACCATGGTTGAGCACGAGAGTCACTTCCCTGATACCACAGCAGTGCTACGCTACAGTGTACTCTCCCGGTGGTCCTCGCAGTGATGACACTTGAGCGTTTCCTCTTGTTGGTACTATATGAAGTCACGTTACATGAACACGTTACAATGATACACAATTTACAAAAAACCTACAATACTGTGGGAGTGGCTTACGACTGATAACAAGTTCATTCGCATCAGGTGCATTACTATCGAACCAATTGGATAACTACTGAAAGACAATGTGTTCAACGTAAGTGCATTACATGTCCAAAGTTCAGAAGCTATCGCACCACGCTACCTTAAACGTTATGGTATCGTAAATAAAACTGAAAATGCCATGTCAGAATTAAACAACTAGAAAAAAAACATGTAATTTACATACAGATTGTGTTAACGCTTGAGATGTGATACTGGAGAAGTGGAGAGTTGATCAAGCGTCTAAAGAGTGTCTGCGTTAAATGTTCATTTAAGTCAATAGGGATTTCCAATCGCAAAGTCTCAGTGGCGGAAAGTGCTAGTTGAAAACACACTGCGCAGCTTTTTCCTCTTACCACTTCGAAGAATCATGTATTATGTAGGTGCCATGAAGTAAAAAGGTTTGCTTCATGGTAGGTGCGGATGATAGATGTTTTTATTTTTCCTTTGTCAGGAGGTTTTTAACCACTCAAAATGAATCAAATTCAGAGTTTTGTAAAATTGTCAAAAAAATTTTTTTACTACATCATAATTAATTCTGAAAAATAAGCATGAAAATTTCTAAAATGAAGTCGTTTAGCGTCAAGTCAATGAGTGAAAGTATGATTTTATTGTAATAATAATGACTTGTACTGAAAAGTCTGAATAAATAAATTTAGGATATATCCAATTGTTCTGTAAAATAAGAACGGTGTTTTTAAATAAATATTGGACTATTTAAATTACAACCAAACGTTCCAAAAAAATATATAAAAAAAGGTTTATTACCAAAATATATTCATGACCTTCGTCTATGGCACCAGACGACCCTGTGATATATCGTTTTATGTATGTTTGTGTATATTACGTGGGTGTTGATAACATCAAAGGATGGTAAATAATTAATTCCTGATAAGCGTAACTATTGAAGTATTGTGATTGTATGCTTCTTTTTATGTGCCGCCCAATAAACTATATGTCATAATAACATTAAAATAGATTGGTATTATCAAATTATCTTTTGTGTTTTGAACAAAATTTCGTAAATCCTCACCAAATTACAAAAGGAATGACCACAATAAAGAACATTATAAATAATACGTTTTCAGTCACGTTTGTACCTCTGAGGTATGAGAAATGTGTGCGAATTTTATGTTTTAAACGTAGATAAGGGCGTAAGTAAGTACATAATTATATCGAATATATTTTAAACTCTGCTACTAATAGAAAATCCTAAAAGAGGGAGGTAGCAAGAAAATTCTTATTCAGACAACAAGAACAAAACAATAGGAGTATATGAACAGACAGATTATTATCATAGTTTATTAATTTATAAAGTTAATTTAATCTTAGGTGGACTATAAAACTCTTATCCTATCTTCGTCGGTAAGACAACAAATAATAATTTGTATAAACATAGCTATGTAAAAATAATGTACCTAGCTTAATATCCTGAAATAAGGCCATTGGCTCATGTTTGTTTGATTTGTCTGCCTTACTCTAAACTATATGACGGACGTCATATAGTTTTCTACAACAGAATAACCTAGATCTCTTAATGCAGACTTTATTTAATCTTTTATCTCTTTCGTTCCTGAGTAAACATACTTCAGTTAATGTTGCGGGTCAAACACCATAATGTACCTACCTCTGTCACGGCTTGAACCAATCAAACGATCGAAATCAAACCAAGAAAACGCTATTAGATATTTTCCATTCCCAAAAAAAACTAACTTTACTCCTTTTACATTAAAGTACCTACTTTTAATTATAAGTATTGGGCCATTTCAGATAAATTGCACTGGCTATAAATATGCAGGAGTAACCAACGATAAACGTACAATAATCTGAGTACCAATAATCATTAACAAATATATAAAATATTTTATTTGATAATGCTACAGATAAATACATTCGAAATTGGTCGGTATCACAATGTAATAGAGGTGACTGGTCGTGCGATGGCCGTGCCAGGTACGACGAGCGTCCGCATACAAACACTAACACAGAAAAACGGAACATGATCACTAGGCATTGCGTTTTATACTTTATACTTACATCATTTTACACATGAACATAGAATCATGTCTCTACACGAAATTATGACTCTCCAACGATGATTTTAATTTTATACAATCATAAAAATAAAGGAAAAATATGTGAGTACCCTAACTAATCCTTAGTACAACTTCCTACGCACTATACATATAGGTATATATTAGTATGTGAGTAGGCAATTTGCAAAAGAAAATCAAAATAGGACATGGAGTGACGAAATGGGGTACGCTGTATGCCTCCCACCTCGACTGCCTTTCGGCCTTTCTATTTGTCTTGTCTACTTTGCTAACATAACATGCTCATCAGCGCGCCAACGCCCGGAGTGTCGACTGCTGCGGCGGCTGGGGCGTGAGAAGGTGGATAGCTCCCTCATGCGGCCCACCTCTTCTTTGCGAACATAACTGTTTCATGGAAAGAGGAAACGGCTTCTCAGTTCCTCTCGCTCCGCACCATGACCTCGACTAAGGGCGGAGCCCGGCCGAGGCTAGGCGTCGGTCTAGAGGTCACCGCCATCGTATCCTCCAACGTCCACCGCCATCGTAACTCATACTACAAATAGAATTGTGTACAAGTGTTTTCTCTTACTTACAACAAACGCAAGCAACGGCAATAAATAAATGATTATACTAGAAAGTAAGATAATACTTAATAATAGCCTGGGCTTAAAACTAATTCCATATTGTGATTTGATAATTGATATTTAAAATGCAGGGTAAGAACCGCAGAAAATATAATAATACTGAATTGTAAAAATATACGTTATGCAATTTTACCTACCGGTGAAAAGGATTTTCGCCTCTCATTACATACATCATCAGCTTATGAGCGCTCATTGCTGTTTAGCAAACGCCTCATTCTCCTTTCTTTCTTCACTTTACACCGCGGACCTGACGCAGCCCAAGGGCTTACCGGACACGGAAGATACCGGTTTCTGATTAAACGGGAGAAAATACCCAGGTGTCATCACTACCAAGACCACTCGAAGGACACGGGGCTGGCGAACCTACTCTGCTTGGGCTGAGTGCCGCCGTGTCCTCGAGGAAGCTTTCGGCGACGACGACCTATTACGCCTAGCCTCGACCCAGGCCATTGCTTCAAAAAATCATTCATACTCGATGGGGCCACTCCATACTAGATGGGGCTGATATAACCAACCGGGGTTTGCAGGTCCATGAAAAGGTGTACCGCGGCCCGGGCCAGAACAGGTGAAAGGCAGGGAAGAAGGAATAGTCTGACACTTCCTCTCGCAACAAAGAGAGCAATGATATCCCTCTTCTAAAAAAAAATTATCCTCACTTACAAGAGTAAACATATCAAACTGTGATGTCTCCCATCTTCCATCGAGTTGTCCCATTAATGCCGAAGTATAGTTGTTCCACGTGGAACCATGCTATTACAATGTTATTACATATCTAATAATTGTAGCTATACTCACTTTCACCTCCGATTATCATAATGCACACAATAAAACATATTGGAGTAAGAAAATAAATGCTTTATTACTTACATAAATACAATAGTGTTTCACATATTTTTTCTTAATAGATTTACATTTGTAGAATTAATTATTTAGGTTAGTATATACATCACATGCATGCATCCATAAAACATAATTGGAATGAAGTGTTACTCAATTAAATAGAAATAAATTTGTATGTTTTATAATATTGAGAAATAAAAACGCATTATGCAACTCGTATGTTTTTTGTTGTTTTTTTAAGTACTTAATATTTTTTCTTGAAAACAATTCAAGTCTAAGGATTAATTTAAATTAGACTTTAAATTCCAATGCAGTACTCATTAATCTAGCGATCGTCCTTCAAAGACCTAGCGCAATAAAGATATAGTTGTAATCAGATTTCATAATGTTCTTCCCCGGACAAAGTCTGTGAAAATAATACAATGCTGCCATTCTCTGGACGCGTTAGAATGTCCTTGAAAGTGCGTGTGTGATGCGTGTTGGCTCTGTCTACGCATTTTTATAGGTTTTGTCAATAAGTAACTAAGTACAATATCTTCTGCATCTCCTATAAGTCTAGTTTGAGGAATTATTAGGATTTGGATCTTTCATCAATAGGTTGCGGTCACTACTAAATTCGATTGTCATTGGCTATTAGTGCACTCACCTAAGCATTTTTCAACCGATTCGTACAAGTAAACAGTCAAAATTACCTATATCACGCGGGTAACCTGATAAGGCAAATTGGCCCAAGACATTTCTAGATTTAAAATGTTTAACAACAGATCCATACCAGAGCTATGCCCACAGATTCACTCGCGTCGTTGTTGAATATTATACCAAAGGATTTCGTTATGAAGACAAAACGTATTCCATTTTTAAGAGCCTTTCAGCAGCGAAAAACATGATCGTCGTTTAGATTGTCTATGTATTAGAACTTCTAGCACTCCTATGATATTATTTAGAAATATCAATCACATTTCTGGTTCTGGTGACTTTAGGAAAGCGTTGACATGTCAGTCAAACAGTTTTCGTTTTTTTCGAAATTCGGCGTAACGATGTTCGAGACCCGCGAAAGCCCGTAAGTATCTTGCATCGATCACTAATAAAGAAGTCCTTTATTAGTGATCGATGGTATCTTGTGTATTAAAATCATTATTAAAATTTTTTTTTTGGAGGGACAAGAAAGTTTTTGTCCCGAAATGAGAACTACGCGAGTAAAGCCTGCGTATCTAACAAACCTCGAAATTTGTGTGAATACGTTAGAACTATAGATTTTCTATATAGATAACAAATCTTTTGAACCATTGGTTTTTACTTTATGATAATAAAGAAATCCCAAAGTATTGAATTGATTTTGATGAAATTTCACTAGCCTACCACCTAAGCAGAATGCTTAAAGCCCTTATTCACACGAGCTAAGTCGTTAATCCTCATATCATATCGTATAACATAACTTTATTTGTAAATTCGAATAAGCAAGTAACGTAACGATTCAGAGTTTTGCAAACTCAAAATATGCTAATAATATAATTAAAAGTGTTTAGATTATACTCGTTCGTTTATCGATATCCCTTGTGATACTTGTAGGACAGGTACGCGTCCACTCCGTGAAGTATGCCGACGACAACTCCGATATACTGAAAAAAAAAAAAAAACTATATATTTTCACTGTCCATAACTCCTGCCTGCATTTAAAAATGGCCACAAACAATATTTGTGCAATAAAGAAAAATAAAATGTGATTTAACAGATAATAACCAGATTACGCCGGATCAGAAAGTCTATCTATTAATCATACATAGGTATTTCAGATTGATAAATTGTTTTGTACGCAAATGTGAGGTTTAGAACGTACTTTGCGAACGTCATATCACAACCTTTTAGGACAACTTTTCGTCACTTATTCGTTAGGTACATGCAAGCTTCGTGCAAGATTTTATCACGCATTTTATTGCGCAAATGTAGTTTAGACGCCTTGAAACGTATGTACATCATGGATCATTAGAATTAAATAAATAAATTAAAAAAGTACAACTTTCTTTAATGATATAATTATGTCCTACGATAATGAAAAAATAAGTAACAAATACCGGTAGCAGTAATTAATAATTACGTTGAAGGTTATTAAAGATAAAGCTACCGTACATTAAATTCTTTTGTCAAGGAAATATTAATTGATTACAATACTTTTAAATAGCTTTATCAAATTGTAGCCCTAGTGGTCCTGAATGAAGTCTTGTTGGAAAGTATGCAAGATCGGTAAGTTTGTATAACTCCAAGTGGTAGTTGGACGTGTGAGCAAGGACTTACATAGACGGCAGTCATGGCCGGGTACGCGGCGTACATGCTAACAAGCGCGTACTGTGGGTACAAGTAGATGTTCACTGCTACGCCCATGTAGGAGGACGCAGACAAGTACAGGAAACACGCCACAGTGTTGAACAGGCACTCCTACAAATATAAAGAAAGCAGAATTATTATTTATAAAAATATGTAATGATGTTGTTGTTTAATTTTGAATTGTTTTGAAGTAAGATAAGCGCGTGAAAAGACTTATGAGGGGCCAATGTCCAGTTGCAAACATTTTACAGATAATTAATTTACCTTTTGAATATCTGGACTAATTACAATTGAAAACTAAAGGACAAATAATTATCCAGCCGGGGTTGCGGTGTAAGCGCAATGAGGCACCGAGACCTCGGCCCAGAACAGGAGAAGGAATGGGGGAAAGGTTGTAGTCAGTAAGAGTCTGACACTGACGGACGGGAGAAATCATTTGATGATTTTCCCCTCACAAAAAAGGGATAAATAATTATTATGTTTTCGGCTTACTCACGTAATTGTTAGACGAGATACTCGACTAGTTTCAAGCCATGCTAGAGGCCCATTCAGTTGCAGCGTGACAGCCGCGTTACGTGTCGCGGAAGGCTGCTCGTGAATAAGGGTCTCTAGCATGGCTTGAAACTAGTCGAGTATCTTGTCTAACAATTTAATAATTAATTTAGTATGTCTCACGAAAGTTATAATAAAATAAATTTAAAAGTCAATATTATTGAATAATTTCCTGGCTTATATGCTCTTACGCTGAAATACGAGTTTAGCGAAACATCTGTAACTAACATCATCTATTACTAACATCAATTCAGGTCGTGTCGGAACCTGACACGACCTAAAAGTCCGTGGTCACTTACAAAGATAGACTGTCGGATGAGCTGCTGTGTGTGTGATGAGAGGACGTAGCAAGCGATAAGGAGAGCAGTAGTAAGGAGACAGGCGGAAGCCGTCGTCAGGAACCCGTGGAAGGCAGAACCCATGACGGTGGCCTGAGACATACCATACTTCACCAGCAGACTCTGGCATAAACCACCTAACATCTGTCAACAGTACAGAAACGAGAAAATTTAACCGTGTTATTTCTTAATTAGATAAAAAAATAGCTTAAAATGAGTCACTATGGACCACATTCTAAAAGTTGCGCTGAATATCGAACATGTACATTAGAACTACATGAAATGTAGTAGTAATAAATGATTGGAATTGATTAGATTTTTTCTTTGGAAAAGTTTCTTTTTTTTATTTTACAGATACTGTTAAGATGATGAAATTAATCGACAGATGTACTAATTGCAAACATTCCCGACATAATTTAGTTTTCATAATACAAATAAGAATTGCGACAATTTTATTAAGAAAAATAATTTTAGGTTCTTACAGCTTCAGCTAGCTTTATGAGTCCATGATGGGTGGTCAAGTATCCAAGGTTGAGGCATTCGCAGCATCGGCAGCAGCAGCATTTGATGCCCTTCTGCCCAGCACCGCCACCAGGCGCCACACGCACTATCGTCGGTCCCATAGTATCACTTTAACTCCACAGAAAACGCACAAAACACTAGCAAGTTCATTAAAAAGTTTCACAACACTGCTGAAACACCACACAGGAAATAAGGGAGAGTTCAATCCTCTTACTCGGTTAGTTATTACTCATAATAACATATTTAGAAGACCGCGTAGTTTTTAGATGTTTGGGAGCGCGTTCATCGAACTCGGAAAATCAGAACTTCACAATAAACTTAAAATTCAAATAGGTCAAACTATTTTTCTTTCACTGTTGCTCTGGTGTTCGGTGAAAAACATCAATATATTCGTTCATATATTGAAACAAAGGACATGTCGGGACCGGAACAAAGTTGGAATAAATTTGAATGAGACGCGTGCCCGCGCGATGCGTGTGCGCTTAATTACAAAAATAGAGCGACGCGCTCGCGACGGGAGGGTTACTTTCTATTTCAGGATATTTTATTTACAAACTCATTAACCTTATTGTTTTGTTTTTTAAGGTACGACGTCACCACGTGTCGATGTAGTCAACAAAAATTTTAACCAACCATCTCGACCGACTTTAAATAAATATATATGTAAAGCTATGTACCTATATAATAATTAAATATTTAGAGATTAGCTTACCTAATGGTAAACAATCGGCGCCGTCGATGGACACCCGCAACACCAAAGGAATTACGATTGCATTTAGGGTTTCGAATGTTAAAGGTTTGGGAAGGGGAGGGATTGGGCTTCCAATAACCTCTTTCTTACGGCGATACACAATGCTGTGGTTGTTTCACGCTGGTCTTCTATGAGGCCGTGGTATCACAACGATCGAACCGACCTATTCGTGCCGAAGCTTGCCTCTTCCAGACTTTTGCGGTAATTGCCTTACACACAGTTGTAATAATTGTGTTTTGCTTTAGATTTATGACCCTCTCTCTGTTGAAAAACCAGCATTTGGTGATATTCCATATTCCAGAAAAATAATACTGCTTCGATAAAAATCTTTTTTTTTAATAGAGAAATTAAATCATCCTGTAGAACTAACAAAACTCATATTTCAGGCGTTATTCATGTTACTAGAATGGCATAGCGAGACTCGCGTCATTTTGGGTGACCTACATAGATAGAGAGGGATTATATTTACAATTGTTTTGACTAATTGAAGAAATGCAGTTTCAGAAAGCACGTAGTACTGTTGTCGTCCCAATGTAGGATTGACAGTATTATAGACGTAAAAGTTTGTAAAAATTTGGATTCTTTCGCGGAAAAACGGGTGGACCGATTTGGCTGAAATTTGTAATGTACTACTTATGTATTGTAGATGGAAGATACCCTAGCTGGATTAACACATATCCTTTCTTTATCCACAACCCAGCCGTAGCCACGTACGGTGCTGGTGAGGTAAAACCCTTTTAAGTAAACACTCATTAACAAAATATAGACTAGTCTCATGAGTGAATTTATCAATGCAATAATCATCATGACTGAAAATTGGTCCATGCAAGAATTGAGACCACGACACGTCGCGTAGCGGATCCCAACACTAAGCTAATGTTATAGCTGCCTAGGTATTCCTACCCTAGTTATTTTCTCGGTATCTAGCTCCATTTTTTTTTTTTTTTTGTTAATTTCATTACAATATTCTTTTCAGTGCTTTAGTCTCTTCTTTAGATAACCATATGAGGAAAAGGAGGCAATGGACGGGATATGTGTCAAATTACAAAACAAAAAATAATTAATATATAGGGTAGACTGGGTACGATTGAAACAAAGGACGGTTGAAACAGAGTAAATATCTCGTAAATGGTTACGCGGGGAATAAGGGTTGTAAGGGGAAGAATAAGCGGACGACAGGTCCGAACCCGAATACAGTGCCGCTCCACATCCCACGCGTTGAGGTTGTGTGCAGGACGCCATATTGATTTTTATTACACAAAAGTAAGTATTTTTCTTCTGACATTAACGCTTTTATTATCTGTTATTTTTGAGTGAATGTATTAAGGTGTGTGTTTGCGATTATTACGATGCTTGTAGAATAAGGAATAGTGACTATTTTTAATGTATTATGACTACTGTCGTAAATATAGAGTATATTATACGTAAAGTGGGCTTGGGGACGGTTGAAACATTTTTTGTGGGTACGGTTGAAACAGATTTTTTTTCTTGTAGATTTTTGAGATTTCGATTCAGGAAGACTTCCAGAGGGAACATTGACTTATTGAGTTATAGGAATGCATATGAGGAGGTAAAAGCTGGAGAAACCTTACGGAAAGCGGCGGAAAAGCATGGTGTACACCAATGTTCCCTGATACATTCGAAAACGAGATGCGACCGGTGGTGACGATATGGGTTATGAGAAGTGGATTCAATGTACTTCGTGTAAGCACATGAAGAATGCACAGAAGGTGGTCTTAGCTAGGTTTGTTATCGGGCACGCTACCATAGCAGCGGTAAGACCCCTCTTTGAGGAGTGGCTTGAGAGACGCCACGGCGTCCTCACCTTCCGTCTGACGCAGGTGCTTACCGGGCACGGCAGCTTCGGTAGGTTCCTGTTTCGGATTCAGCGGGAGGAAACGCCCGAGTGTCGTCATTGTGAGGACCACCTAGAGGATACGGTGGAGCATACGGTAGCGGTATGCCCTGCCTGGGCTGAGCACCGCCGTATCCTCAGGGAAGTGATCGGCGGCGGCGACCTCTCGCGCCCGGCCTTAGTCGAGGCCATGGTGCGGAGTGAGAGGAACTGGGACGCCGTCTCCTCCTTTTGTGAAGCAGTCATGCTCGCAAAGAGAGAGGCGGCCCGCGTGAGGGAGCAATCCTCCTCCTCACGCCCCAGCAGCCGCAACTGGCGACACTACGGGCGTCGGGGATCGAGGGACGATCTCCGGCCACCGTAAGTACGGGCCTGCGGTCGGCGAGTAAGGGCAGCTCGCCGCCCGACCAGAACCAGGCCCGAGCGTACGGCGCGTAGCGTTCCGCGTGCGCCTCAAAGAGCCATTCGACCACCACAGACGGGGCCCTAAAGGGCTGATGTTCAGCCGGGGTTGCGGGGTAAGCGCAATGAGGTACCGCGACCTCGGCACAGAGCAGGAGAAGGAACAGGGGGGTTTTTAGTCAGTAAGAGTCTGACACTCCCTCCTGCCCGGCCCTGGGCGGGAGAAGTCATTTGATGATTTTCCCCTCACAAAAAAAAAAAAAAAAAAAGCTAGGTTTGTTATAATTCCGACTCTGAATACTCCGATTAATGCCTAAGCTAAATGTTTTCTCTAAGTTAATTCTCCATGTCTATTTTTTGATGTAAACAGGCGTTTCTTTATTAGTTTATTTGATTTAAAAATATTTTCGTTTAGTTTACTCACAATGGTTATTTTATTAATTTTATAAATGTCTCTTAATTAGTGTATTTTCAAAGTTTATTTGTTTTTAAAGTTTATTCTGATACCTTTGTTCTGATACTAGGTACCGTTTTTGTAATTTCTCTAAATCTTTACTAGGTATTAGTCAAAGGCTGATAAACGTTTGAGGAGCATAAAAATCTTTAATACTGATTAATGTTGTGATAATTATTCATATAATTAGTATTAATTATAAATAAAATATATTTTATTAGTATTTATTGTTTTATTTTTATGTGTTTCAATTGACCCCAATCGCTGTTTCAACCGCCCCTGGCATGGGGACGGTTGAAACAAATTATAAATATTTTTTAATTTCGCATATTTCCAAAAATAGTAATTTGAGAACCATAATGACACTGCCATGTCGTAGCTAAAACTTCATATTTGAATTTCATGTATCATAATGATCATTTGGTTAGTAAATGACAAAATTATTAATCAAATATGCCAAATTGTTTCAACCGTACCCAGTCTACCCTACATAACGTTGCAACACTGAAATTGTCAAATCTGGAATCGAATTAAAATTCTGACTATAGTACTGAAATTGTCAGGCAATCGATAATGTCATATTTAGTAGTTCGCAACTTATAGATACTGAGACATCCAGGTTTAACTTGTAGATACTTGTTAGATACCACTTAAACAATAAAACAAATGGTTAGCAAAGTAGAAACATTTATTATACTTGTATATAATAGTCTTCTATATGTGTATAGAAAGTAGGTAGTGTCCCGATTTTTCATCGACACAAATTCACATGATCAATACAAATCAAAAGATACAAAGATTTAAATACTTAACGTACTCAATACGTTAATGCAATGGCAATAAATTTATTGAACATGAATAATGAATAAAGTAATCCAAGGTCGCATTTTAATCCGAGCCGAGTAACATACTCTACTTTACGTGAATTACTTAATATTATCGGAAGCGCATTTTATTGTATTACGTACGTACTTCATATACAGGCTGTACTTTAACACCAATTTACAACAATTTATTTTTTTATAAGTATCCTATTCGGTATAAAAATATATCGTCTTAAAGTACAAATAGTAAAATACATAAATAAATTTCAAAACACAACTGCTGTCACTGATGTAATCAGGACATAAATTGTGTAAAAAAATCGACATTAATACTCATAATGTACTTGTGTAATGAGATTTCTTCTGATCCGTCCCTGGATGTGGCGAGTGGGAGTCTTGAGACTATTCCTGACTAGAAACCACCCCATTCCCCCTCATGCTAGGGGCCAGGGCCGCAGCACAGAGTTTAGCCCACTAGTCAACATACTCAAAGATTAAAAAAAAAATAAAAAAATGCGTATACAGATTATTTAATAATCTGCCTAATAAATAATTATATAGGTACGCTTTTATGATAACCAATTAATCACAACAGATTTGCAAGATACAATAAGAATGCAGATTTTCCTCTATTTATCATCACTGCCTAGTGCTTCTCTGTAATGTAAACGTAATAAAATCAATTGTGACAATACAAATAGATAACATGATTAGAAAATTGTACAACGTGATTCAGAAATTAATACCTTAGTACTAGGTAATAAAAACAATAATTAATTGTCCATTCAATTTTTGATCTTGCTTTATTCAGAAAGTGGCATTAGGTTATATAACCTATCTCAGGGTTAATATAGCCAATAGACCACCACAGACGAGGCCCTATAGGGCTGATGTTCAGCCAGGGTTGCGGGGTAAGCGCAATGAGGCACCGCGACCTCGGCCCAGAGCAGGAGAAGGAACAGGGGGGTTTTTAGTCAGTAAGAGTCTGACACTTCCTCCCGCCCGGCCCTGAGCGGGAGAAGTCATTTGATGATTTTCCCCTCACAAAAAAAAAGGGTTGGCCCATAAGCCTCGGCTTCGAGCAGAAGTTGGGGGTTGTTAAGATTAAGTTGTTGAAACTTCCTCTCGCCCCGCACAGAGTAAGACGAGCAATATGATGATTTCTCCTCCTCAAAAAAAAGGGTAAACGAGACTTTTCATGTAACGGCCAATTAAACTACATGATTGTGAAATATCATTATGTAGACAAGACAAAGTTGAATTGACAGTGTGGCATAATGTACCTAGGTTTTCAACCATCTATATGTCTTACGATGCTGGATGCACCTAAACTATATTTTCACGAAACATTTGCGAAATAATCTGATTACATTTACGTAAAGCAAATCAGACGCTAATCTTTTGTTATTTAGGAAAATATTTAAACAATGTATCTTTAAATCGTTTATTATTTTTAAATACGTGCGATCACTAAAATGACTGCCTGCTTTTTTATATAATTCTATTTTTTCGACCACGATGTGTTGAGTATACAATAAAACATAATATATGCAGTATTCTGATAAAATGTTGTTTTGTTACAAAAAACTTATTATTTATATACTATAAGAACAACAAATTAATGTATACATTATCTGTTCTATAGATAGACAAGATACAATCTAGATCCAGAATAGTGTCGAAAGAATATCTGTTAATAAACTGCTATAAGTAATAAATTCTTCTAGAATATTCTAGAAATGATTGAACAATATTTATAGCTTATAGTCACAACATTTAAAAGCGAGCATTTACATAATATCAACATTTGAATCGTTGCACTAACAGTACTTAATTACTTAAATCAATCACACTTTTAAGGCAATATTATTTATAGGACAAATATTAGCACATATACTGTTCTCTACTAAATATTTAAAAATAATAATAAAAATGTATTTCGAAATTCGTGTTATTCGCATGGTTTGGCATCTTAATAATAACAACGTTGAACATAAATCAAATCTTAGATAAAAAAAAAGTGCAATGTAGGCAGTTTTAACGTGTATTGTTACTCAGATTATTTGGTTATCGATGAGTTATTGTATATGTATGTGTGTATGACGATGCGATTTGAAATTTATGTAGATGAGATAAAACACACATTACTTCAAATAATACATATGTTTCCTTTCAAACATTGGTATTAAAATATTACTATTTAGTCGTCAATATTACCTTTTTATTTTGTTATTTATTGATTAATAATGTATTTTGTAGCACCAGGTACACAGACAGTAAACTCATTTTTATCACACAGCTTACCTACTGCTCAAGGCAGATTGGTGATTTCAAACTTGTAATTATAAATTATAAGTTCAGATTTCTCACGATGTTTTCTTTCACCGTATGCCAGCGGTGTTTAGGTAATCTTAAAAAGTACGTATCTTAAGGTGTGTTAATCTCCGGGCAGTTATGAATTCATGTATTAATTTTATTGGTAAAAAAATCCAAATAGAAAAAATCGCGATCCAAAAATTGTATACAATATTATAAATACATTATATTATTTGTTGGTATCAAAATATATATCTAGGCAGGTAATATTTTATTTACACAAATATATCTTTGTGCTTTATCTCCTAAAAATATTTTTTTTATATTTATAAAAAATAGTACTTAGTTTACCCATGTCATTGACAAGTTTATAAAAATACGTGTAATAAAGTGGAAGCCATATTATAAAATCAATAAATTAAATGCAAAGACCATAGAATCCCAATTCCAAATAATGGCATGACGTTAGTTCATTGTGGTTTTCAGGAACCCAAAAATTCTCAAAATGCAAATCTTTCATAACGACTAGACAATATTTTGTTTACATAAAAATTCATACTTAACCATTCCAATCAGTAACTCAAGTAAATTATCCCTATATAAGTACATTCGTGTCTTGTATTAAACACTGAATGAACACAACAGCGCCTCTGGTGGCTGATTGAGAAACTGAATTCGTACTTTTATGCGTTCAGAGGTATTTATCATAAAATATATGAACTTAAATAAAAAAACAATAGCTTACGACTAAGACATTATGTGACGTATGGCATTTTTAAGCTTTAAAATAATCAAGAAATAAATTATTTATAGATAGCTAAAACTACTTGAAGTTAAATATTCTTAATTTAAATACCGCGGTACTGACGATTTGCTAAGAACGTACTGAGCAGGTAAAGTGCGGCCATGATGAGTCCCATGATCTGAAACAATGGAATAAAAATAAGCAATTATAATTCATAAGTTAATGCGCTTATGTGTAAACAGGAAAATACGTTTTCTTAATTTATTATCCCTAATAAGATAGGTTGTGGTTTAATGACGTTCAAACTTACAATATTTTCTTTTTTATTTTTTAAACGCTAGTTCTACTAGTTCTAGTGTCTAGATGAATTTCACAATATCATCGCCAGCACTACTGGACTGGAGACTGCATTTCATAAGGATCAAGTTTATCAGATAATGCTGTTGTACCGTTTCTAATGTTGTCTCTCAGTTGAGTCTGACGACAAGACAGGAATGGCCTTCTAATAGAAAATAATCCTTTAGCTACAGGCATTTCAATGCTTAAATAGCGGCTCCTCGACATGAAGTGTTATAAGCCAAAATGATGCGTTATAAACTTATTTTATTTTAATTATGTTGAGGATGGATTTGAAATAAATTTACTTTGAAGAGCAGGGCCTCGTAGCACATCTTTACTTAAAAGGTCCCTATGTAAGCTCTAGTGTAAAAGTTGAACCTAATTGTTACAGCAACAATCTTTTTCTATTAATACTTTTTTGTAAATTCTAATAATAATATTTTCTCACCGCAGCAGCCAAGTATGGCTCATAATCCCGTCTATAGTAATCCTTGTAGTGGTTCACTTCGACCATGAGGGTGATGCCCGCAGACAGATACAGTACAAACGCCACGCCATGGTATATCACCTCCTGGAAAAGTAAATACGCACATATTAAAAAAACACGGAAATGCATATGGAAATCTACCTACATTAATAATGTAACGGAAAACCACCCTTCAAAAATCAATAAACTTTAAGGGACTTTCAGTATTCCTATAATACTTACAAATATAGGGTACCCATTGTACTTACGGATAAAGACATTTTGGTTTTTAACTGTTGATCTAATACAAACCATAAATAATGACATTTAAATCCTACGCCAATGACGTCACTTGCGACATAGGCGCTTGCGCATGTTTGCTTTTTCAATTTAGGATGCAGATACCCACGTAACCTGGGTGCTTTCGGTATGGTTTAAGTGAGGTAAGAATCCCACACGCCCTAGTCTTTCGCTTTTAGAAGAAATTAAAAAAGGTACTTACGTAAATTGTTTTTGATATAATAGAAGCCGTTGACAAGGAGACTATGCACGATGTGAATAGACAAAATGTGCCTACAAGGCAAGCAACGGCCACGAGCAGGTAGAACAACTCTGCCTTGCCATTACCGACTTTGTAGTACCCATGGTCCATATAGTATGCCACTACACCTACACACGCCGCACCCAGCAACTGAAACATAAAACCTCATTCTTCAGACACAGTAAATATCATCATTATTGAACTCTTCAAAAAAATTTTGGTGCGCAAGACTCATAGTCAAATTAAGACTTATTAGCTCATAATACTGAATACAAATTAGACTGGGGAAAAAGTCTTTCGAATTCGTTTATCTCCATATATAAACTTGTAACAAAATCTCTTTGGATATACAAATAGTACCTATAGGTACTATTTACAAATAGTACCTATAGGTACTATTTGTACCTGGCTGGTTTTGGTATCATTGAAAGTTTAAATTCTTAAGAACATACATTTGTAATTCCAAATTCAAATTAGGAAAATGTGTGATTTTTATTCGTATGGTCAAGATGAGTCAATTTAATGAAGAAATTGCTATCCCTACCTGCAGGATGGCAAAAAGTATGAACAAAAATGATAATTAAATACATTCTTGTTAAATGAAAATAAAGTATATTAGCGGTGCCACACAACACAGGGTTGGGTCAGGGTGGTTACGAACGTAAGAGTTTGACACTTCCAAGAACATAAAACATGTATGTGACCTATTAGACTTTTGATATGAACATAGCGTATACCGTAGTACTCGTAATATTGACATCAATGATTTTCCTTGTAGGTACATTTAGCATTTAACATTGCATTGGACCTTGGCAAATTAGTACGAATGTCGCATCGCATCGCAATTTTAAACATTTGTAATTTTATTCTGTACATTTTCCTGTGCCATTTGATTATATTCACAAACTCAGTACTGCATTGAAAATACAAATATAAATAAGTGTTTTGACGCATTTTCGCGGTGCAAGTCATCGGGCGTTTGTTTATTCTCGCTTCTCCGAGAATAACCCGGTTGGGTGAAGTCATGGCTACCTCGTAAAATCCGAGGCCAGGAAAAGATTACGGCGTCCATCTACTTCAAATTAATTTTGTACCTAACATTAACTAGAAAAGTGATTCGTTCACACGCATTCTGGTTTAACCATATAGTTATTGACTATAATTTTTTATGCTTGGTCTACAAATACCTTTTATATCTTAATATCTTATTGATTGATTAAGATGTTTGAACTAAGTAAATGATCAATAGAGCCCTACAATACAGCGTTGCCTAAACTGTTACACCAAAGTAATTTGGTCTAAATGCAGTAACAAGAGTTAATTGCAGAAGTTAACAACCTTCTCTGACTCATTTGATAAAGATAGTCTGCCAAACTCATACACAAACACAATCTTACACTCGTGTGTTTGAATATTCGCACAAACTATTCAATAAAACGCGATGATGCCACCAATGATATCATTCATGGTCACTTCAAGGAAATCCGGACAGAAACTAAAAACAATATGGACAATGTAAATTCATTAAGTCCGTGAGAGTACTGTGACACATTTACCTATACTTAGTAAGAAAACGGCGCAACTTTAACTAAGCAGTAATAAATATGTAGTTTTAATGCTACTACTCAAAGTTCAATTTTCAGGATCAAGGATTTTTAATCATTTTACAAGGACGTTTTCCCTGTATAGAGTTGGTGCACGTTAAGCGTTATTAGAAGGATCGCATTTTATCCATAAATATGGTTGTCAAGGGAACCAGTTTCGGTTTTATGCTAAGTATCCAGCTTAAAGTAACTGCTTATCCTACGGGAAAAGGTGGTGTCATATAGTTACCAACGATTACGTGCTAAGAATAACGTCTACAAATGATATTTCTCTTGTTTGTGTAAAAGCTTCAGACTGTTGTTTCAATGACACTTTAATTTCATAATTCAAGGCAGCCGGCCCTTAGCTTGATACGACCGAATTTCCCAACCATGATATTTACGTAACTGAAACTGGGTTACATTCTGGATCGAAATATCTTGTAAAGCAGGAAATTTTATATAGGTACATGTAATTCATTTTCTACGTACACTCGATAGTTAACAATAATATTTATACACTGCAGCAAGCACTTAGAGTTATCTTCAGTTATGTTTCTTATCATGATCGTCATTTGACGTTCATGTTAAAAGTGCCGTTTTATGGGCCTGTTTGCAAAAATAAATTCATTATTTCATTGTTTCATGATTAAGAATAATTACATAAATAGATATTCGGTACCCTCATAGTGCGGATAGAGAACGTCAAGATATATTTTATTACATGAATAAAGACTTTTTTTGTTTTTTTACTAATGCACTTCGTAATAAGTTCGACGGTATAATGCAGAGTACGAAAAATTATTTGCCTAGTTCTTAAATTGTTTATTACCTTTCTCATACTTCAATTCTTGTATATCATCCGCTTATTTTTTAAAAAAACCGATCTATATTATAAAATACTATATAACATACCTAACATAGTCGTACTTGGTTTTCCAAAACAGAGTACCACCAGTTACAAAATGGAATACCAACCTTGTGGTTGTACCACTCATTTATGAGTGACATAATACTTGTAGTCAAAATACCTAACAAAAACAATAAGATAGTGGTGCTTACCAATTCAGCAAGTTTGAGAAGTCCAGGTGTTGAGCTCATGTACCCACTGTTGATGTACACGGGGGTGCCCGACGTGGCCACCGTCGTCCGAGTTATGGTCAGCGAGTGAGACATCCTGGCTCTCTGGAAACGAGCACCGAGAATATTAATTAAAACATTGACATCCTCACAAGATTTTTTTTGGAAAAAAATTTTGTGGGATAGCCATGCTTCGGCACGAATGGGCCGGCTGGACCGGAGTGATACCACGGCCTCACAGAAGAGGCGGCGTGAAACAACCACAGCGTTGTGTTTCGCCGTGTGAGTGAGGTTACCGGAGGCCCAATCCTTCCCCGCCCCCAATCCCTCCTCAATCCCTTAATCTCCAAATACCTAATCCCTAAAAGATCAGAACGCACTCGTAACTCCTCCGTTGCGGGTGTCCATGGGCGGCGCTGATTGCTTACCATCAGGTAATCCGTCTGCTCGTTTGCCGACCAATTACATAAAAAAAATGTAGGTATTCACATCAAGTTCTCAAAAATAACTTGTACTCGGTGACTTTTCTTCTCAAATTGTATTAAAAACATTGAACCAAAAAAAACCCCACGCCGTCGCCATCTAGCATTGAGAAGTAATTTGATAAATATACAAAATATAAAAAATCATGATATTTTCATTTCTTTATGTATATATACAATAGTTTTTGATGTTATATCAATATCCTGTGCTAATAACATGGCAATTTATTGTAATTTGTTTAATATGTTATTATAATTCCTGTTATTTATTGACAAACTGTACTTACATACTTCTTAATTTTAAATTAAGAAGTATTTTGAAGACACGACATTGGTGCACCGTACGTTATTTAAAAAAAATGCCTATGGAAAATGACAGATTCTAGGTACTTCGTTTGAAGGTGTGAAATTTTCGATACATTATGTAAGTTTTGATTGACGATGACGACAAATCTTAAGTCATCTCCGAATAAGGGTCGGTTAGGTCAACATGTTGGCGAGTGACGCGCAATGTTTGTATGCCGAGGTCGCCAGCTCTCACAATGCATTATCTACCTATATATACATAATATACCATACTTTTATTATATAAAGATGTAAAACTGTGTTTATGCATAAGCATTGTTAATGTAAGACCGCGGAGCACGGCGCATGCGTGCCTTTAACAACAACCTATTCATTCATTAAGTATGTAGGTAGTTGTAAAAACATTATACTACCATTTTACCGCCATATTATGAATTCAATACGTCAAGCAACATTTTTTTTTTTTTGCTTTTATACATCAATTTTTTGTCGTTTAGTAGCTGCTTAAGTATTTTTCAAGCAAAATAAATAAACAAAATTATGACACTTAGGTAGAAACGTTAATTAAATTTAATGTTGGGTAACTCTATTAACCCTAGAGGGGTTATATATTATGATGATGTCATTTTAACAAAATGAATCATAAAATAGGTAAACAAATAATTACGAATGTATTCATAATACTAATACTAATGTCTTCATCCTTTACAATATTAATTGTGTGCAGTTCACATAATAATCTTTCTTCGAAGAGTTCAAAAAATGTAGTTATTAAGACTTTTAATTTATTAAAAGAAAAAAATAAGAAAACACTTACAATTTATATAATTCGGGAACTGAGTAAATTAAATAATGTATAGCGCACGTATGCACGAGCGAGCAATATTGAAACGACTCAACGACTGTGAAGCGGGCTGAGCTCCGGTGACTCACCGACCACCGAGTATCGACATTGCGCATACAACATACACCAGACAGACAGCTCTGCGCACCAAGGATACCCTCGGACGAGGTCTGGAGGCTATCGATGTGGCTACAACAACCAGACACCGCCGACACAAGAAAGGATCATTGTACTTACGTGTACTGATGCAGAACAGTGCCCGCTGCAGCCAACGCATGCGCAATCATACTCTATTTTTAACGTATACTGGTTCAAAGTCTCATAAAATTTCTGATAAGTTATCGACAGAAAGATACTTACAGTAATTCCGTCACCCATCATCCCTCTTGATTCCACTATGGTATGCACTGTTCTCATCGAAGAATACTAGTATATACTTACTAATTATACTAGCACTCGCTTCGTTTTAAATTTTCACCTGATAACATTATGCCATTCATATTATTTACATAATACCACATGTGTTAATCCAATGAAACTAACTGCTAACATAAGTTTTAGACTTACCTAATTTGGTAGTATTATACCATACCACACTGTATGTACTTACATACTGCATCGTAGATATTATTATACTGTCTTACAATACCTTCTTATTCGATTGTCGCCTTGCTAACTTATATGAGCAATGTGTACTCGTGAAGGATATGACTCGTAAGGTGACACACCAATTTGGGATAGGAAACTACTACCATATTTATCAGTACAGACTACCCGGAAACATCGTATCGTCAGCACAGCGATTCACTTTTTAATAGTCAAGAACAGGGCTCGGGGACTCACTGAAAGTGTAAGGGAAAAAATTGTTTTCAAAATGTTACATTTATTCATCAATAATAAATATTAAGCATCCATCTGAAGCAGTTTGATAAAAGGTGCTCTAAATCGGCTCTGTAGATTTAAACGGACCCTTCCATATAAATATTCTACGTAAACAAAGTCGTTAAAATTTAATTAACATCTCTATTAGTCACTCAAATTACTGAGATAAAAGAACTCGGACGATCTCAACAAACTCGAATGCAAGAAAATTTTAATAAAAAATTTCATCTATTGTTTTGTATACCAATAACATGGTGGTAATATTTTATAAGCACCATGACTAGCATGAAAGGAAAAAAATTAATTGAATTCTCAGAGCAGCACAAGAACTTATTCCGAACATTAGGTGTTACAGGTACACCTGTAGCACTAGTAGGGTAAACTGGAATAAGTTGCACAGACAGGTAATACACAGATTCACAGACGGGGCCTTACAGGACCCATGTTCAGCCAGAGTTGGGGGCTAGCAATAAGGTAAGCTGCAGCCTTGGCCTAAAGAACGAGCAGGAACAGGGTCGGATTTAGTCAGTAAGAGTCTGACTCTCCCTCCCGCCTCACCCTGAGCGTAGAAGTTATTTAATAATTTTCCCCTCACAAAAAGAAGTTACACCGATTACAATATGTATTACCAACAATAAAATAATTTATAAGTTTTATAGATGCTGGGCCTAGATGGTGATGAGGTCGTTAGGAAAACCAAGAAGACGTGCAGTCTTCGTTGCACGCGTTTTATGGTTTTTAATGCGGCTGAGGACTTGATTGCCTCTCAGCGGAGAAGTGTTAGGCGAAGGAGATGGCGATGCTGATCTGCTCCGTAAAGTCAGTGCCAACAATCATGTCAGTGTCACCACTGAGAAAAGGTCCATAATCCGCCGACCAAACGAGGTGATACAGCCTAACTGTTGCACGTAGGGAATTCTAATTTTGAATCCATGATTATTCGCGCGCAAAATTCACTTGAGCGATGTAGGATATATGACGTCATCATTGAATCTTCTTTGTGTCGCCACAATTATTTCCCAACCTGGGATTTCAACTTTTATAGCAGTTACAACCCACTCAATACTTCTGAGCAGATACTTAAAAACTTCAAAAGATATTCTTAAAATCAAAGTCATTGAAATATGTTAAAATATATTTATTAACTTTTTACAAATTAGGTCAATAAAATTAACTATTGTTTAAAACTTCACATAACACCCGACATTCAACACAACTTAAATATTTCAGTACTTAACAAAAACATCAAAATGTAACTTTAAGAAGGATTTTAAATAAAATATCTAAGTATTGATAGTTACTTAAACAGGTGTAAGTGTAGAAAACGTGCTCAATCTCATTTAGTTCCGACATTTATAAAAATACTTTTAAGGTACAAATAGATCTTCGAAAACTCACTCACAAAAATATTTTTATATTTTATCATAAACCTTTAGCTTTGAAAAAGTATATGAGCATTAGAATTATTGCTCTCTCTGGATGCTAAATGCATCAAGTACCCAAAGTAACATACAGATATGTGTACTAAAAAGTGCGAAAAATATTGTCTTTACCAATACATTCTGTCCCAAATTATCTAAGTATATATTAAATTACAATTAATTCGTTTTAGATTTAACATTTAACTTTCATGCAACTTTTTGTTTTTCTGTAAGACTAGTCTAACAAAATATTAGGTATAACAACCGTGAGATTAAAATACGAGTAAATATCTTAAAAAACGAAACCTAAGCGTGTACTTCGTCGAACTGGCCCCGAAAATTACGTTTTTATTTGAAAACAAATGTTTTTTGTTCATTTCAATTTAATTATAGCAAATAATGACAATGCGCGTTTTTAGTTCTAAATAATCGAGTTTAGCTTGACCTTTTCTACCGTCCAGGTTTTCCATATTTGAATGGATCTGTCCCGAGAACGGAGCTCCGCCCAGTACAGACTGTATAGAAACCATAGACAAAAGGACAACTGAAACGAGTTTCTAACTCATAGTTAAATTACCACTGTCCAACTAGATACAGAGATTGTTCATTAAATTGACCGATTTAACGGTTTCCCATTTAAAAGCGTAGCTTACCATTTACATACCTTACACGTACACAATCTATGGCCATTAATTTAAGTATTATTCTATAATTAATAATATGAAACCGTACTGTTTGTTATGACTTTTAAATACACTATAAAATATAAATTATACATAAATTACAAACTTATGTTTACCTACTATCTGCAGACGGTTTTGATCAATGAAACCAAAGTATTTTCTCATTTGCGATGGAATATTCGCTTTAGATAATAATATAGAATAATCATAAATGTCTAATAGTTTTATTGTGTGTAGATCAGCCTGGCATTTAATAACACATTCATAAGACCTTCGAATATGAAATCGATGTGTTTGTAAAGACGTGGGCACATGTAGGTGCTCTATTATTTTGATACAAAATTAACGTCCGAATAAAATGTAGGTATACTTTTGATTAGACAATGTGTATAGTTTTTTCATAAAAATAAATATCTGCAACGAGTGCTTAATAACAGTTCGTGAAAAATACAGTTATATTTCGGTGTTTTTTATCGAAAGCGAAACGAATGTGAACGATACGATAATAGGCTTCCATTGAGGTTTATTATAGTGGCCGCGGCGCATGCGCACAGGGTTCAGGCTCACGCCACTTGTCCCGTAGCAGTTGATCCTCGGTGCTCCTTGAACAGCAGGAAAGAGCTGGCTGCGTACGCCACCGTGTTGAAAATACCGAACACCTGTACAAACAAACATAATTACAAGTTATTATACAAATTACTTAACACGAATGGGTTCAATGTCATACATCGGCGTTATTTGGACAACTAATTAGTTCAATTTTTAGTTTACTCAATACCGTAAAGTATGTACCTACTTCTACGTAGGCTAACGAATACCTATCTACACCAAAAACTAAGTTATTCAATATGTTTAACGTTTTTCATAATAATTAATTTAACTTGTCTCACGATTGCTTTAACCTAAAGCCAAGGTTTTAAGTCTAATCATAGTAAGCAGTCTACAAAAAAAACAAATGCCTATCATTCATACGAAACCACCTAGTAAATCTCGTATGACCAATAAACTGACGTGGTCGCATCGAAACTACATACAAAAGTATAAGTAGGTAGTCGATATGCAAATTACAAAATAGAAAGTGAAGACTAGATTCATCGTCTTTATCAAAGATTAGACAAAACTAAACATACAACTATCTTCATTAGTGTATAGCTTAACAGCTTGTGTCCTAAATTATCTGCAATAAACCTACTTACTAATTCTCATTTTAAGATGTATCACATTAATTTTAATTGATATCCAACCATTATAGTAAACATCAGATGTATTTGGATTTTTCATAGATTTTTATCAAACCTACATGGTTACATGATATTAGAAACTAGCAACATTCATATACTTTATTTCAGAACGGAAACTAAACCTCTAAAACTTAGCCTTGGCTGAATTATATACACATTTGCGATAGAGAGCTAAATTTTATATCCTACATACTGAACAATAATTTATAACTTATAAAAGTACTAGCTTTTGCCCGCGACTCCGACCGCGTGGAATTCACTATTCCAATCCTGTAGAGTTTTGGTATAAAAACTAACCTATGTCCTATCTCGAGTTCCAAACTATCTCTGTACCAAATTTCACTGAAATGGGTTCAGTACTTTAGGCGTAAAGAAAAGATAGACGGACAGACTGACAGAGTTACTTTCGTATTTATAAAATTAAGTTTGGATATAGTGTACCTGCTTAGTAACGTTTCGTGGGTATATTACCCATACTTTATAATGGAGTAAACGTAGTAAATATTTACATACATAAACATATTGCTCATTAGGTACTGGCTGAAAACATAACATTCTTTGTTTTACTACCTCACCTACCAAAACCTACCTACCTACGAAAAGATAAATAACAGCCTCTATTCTCAATCACTATTGTTAAGTCGTAAAAGGACATCAGTAGCTATAGTACGGGACTAACTGCTGGTTGACATCATCACAATTAAAGCATTATTATAAATAAATTGTTATTAGCTGTCAAACTGGTTTCAAGCAACGAAACGTGATAGCTGGTAGTACATTTCTTTAGTTGGAAAGTTATATATTTAACTTACTCCAATGCTTAACCAATACTATTGTTTCATTATAATGTTTGGTTTTAGACCTGCGGTAAATTAATTTATAGAAGTAATTTTGTAACTATTTCTTTTTGTGTTTGTATAATAAATCTATAAAATATTCACATATTCCGCAGTGTGCGATAAATACTTTTAAATTTGCTAAACCTCTTTTGTTAATTAGGTTTATAACTTCACTAGAGGACAGACGGACAAACCGACACGCATAAAGTTAAACCTCTTGAAATATATTTATCTTTTCTTCTTTTTTTTGCTTGACGTTCAAAAATGCCTACAGTGGTCTAATTGAAGTAAATTATTTTGACTTTGACTTTAACTTAAATACAAGTAAAATATCGTGTGTCTCTACTAAAAAATCGAAGTGTAATTGGATCGTCCTCACGTTACGTAACGGTTCCCATGAGCTTGACACCTAAAGTTGAATGTGACACAAGGGCATATAATATGATGATTTCATGGAATTCTCTCCACATTAACTTCTTCATATTTTACTATCGATCCGTAAAGTATTATGATGATATATTAAAGGTATTAAGACAGTTCTACCAATAAAGTTAATGTGTTGTGAGTTTTATATTTTTTGCAAAAAATATTACAAAAGTACCTATTACCTTATATAGTATGTATGTATAAATGTATATATTGTGAGAATGGACTGATGATACTTACAGCTGCTGCAACGTTGGATCCATAGCCGTAGGCGTAGTAGCCAGCGGTCGCGGCGAACAGCACAATGAAGGCAATCAGGTACATAAATGTCTCTATACTGGTGCTGATCAGCTCCTGAAACATTCAATATCATGCGTCAGAACACTAAGTTATAATAAAACCTTAATAATTTGTATGACATACAAAATAATTGATTACTTTGGTGAACGTTAGGAAGTCAACGTCCTTATTAAATACATTAAATGTTTTTCGGTTTCGTTTTGAGTTGTGAACAGGAAAACATATTTAATTAATACATTTTAAGCCCAATTTACGGCAGAATTGGTATATTTCAGTTACGGCAGTCAATCCCAACAGAGACTTAACAGTGAATATGATACAACGTGTCAATTTTATGTGATATTTGTAGGTATGAATGGTTTTTGCCGAAAATAGTACTTACAGATAAAACCCAGTTGATGGGAATTTTGATGACTTCCTTGATGCTTAGCAGGTAGACGAAACTCCAGATGAGGGTGGTAATGAAACTCGTGACTGCGACGAAGACGAACCACGTAGAGTACCAAGGCGACGCCAACGCCATACACAAGATGCCGAGCACCTGAAAAACAAATAACCAATTTGTTAAAACATTTTTGTAAGAACTCTTTTGTTCTTGGCCCATAAAAATAATAGTGGTTATTGTGACGTCACATATCTTTTGTTGTTTTCACACTTTCATAAATGATTGGGTAAATTTTCGATGTTTACCTAAATGATCGGTTTACGAGTTTTTATTTTCAACACCACGTTACTTTATGGTGTCTTGAATAGACGCTGATACGCATAATATTATTATTATTAAAATCTAAATGTAGAACATCCCACGGTGGGGTTCCAAAGCCCGGCTTTACAACGCGGGAGATGTTTGTGACTGGATTTTTTATAACAATAAATCTAAAGCGGTACATGTGATTGTTGAAATCTTTGTTAGTTCGCTGTTTTTATGCTTTTATTTTTATTATTATTCGAGTTTTTATGCTCGTACTTCGTTTAGTTCCGAATATACTTGCATACCAAACAAGTTAATCGCTAAATATTTGTATTTAAATTGGGCAGGTGTGTGTCCATTTTCATTCATAGGTATTAAACCTAGATATGTTATCAAAATAATATTAATTACAATATTAGGTACATTTTTTCATATCTTTTTATTGAATGCACGTGTTTATTTTGTTATAAAGAAAAGCAACTATCGGCGATACCAAAGAGGCCATACGCGTTTATTTTTAATTAAAATTTTGTCGCTTGTATCATACATTATATAATTACACAAGGGGAAACGCAGGGTATATAATATATATATTCTAAATAATAGTTATGTTGTTATTACATTAAGGCTAATAACATTTGAGTTAATACAATGACTGTATTGTTCTTGTAATTAATAGAAGCTACCTAACAATAGCAACATTACCTAATACCTAACTATCCCAATTGCATGACGAAATGAATGCAATTTTTCCCTTACAATATAAATGCTTATATGACCTAACGTACAGTATTATGATTTAGACCTTTCTTATCTTTTTGAATAATTTGATAAATCTTATCCTCAAAAAATGACACATCGATAGATTATGAAAAAATGCTCATTGATAAATAAATAATCAGGTATTATTCACAGGATGAATGAAAATATGAGGTATTATGCTGTAACCTCTGTGGTGCCAGTTCGTGTGACTCAAACAATAGACTCAGGGAGTGACTAAGAGCACTAAAGATGTGCATGACACTGATGTTTAGATAAGAGTTTTTATCGCTGAAACGATAACATTCAATATTGTGATGTTCACAAAGGGGAAAATTCATTTTTCCACATTTTACGTAAACGTGTGAAATTGAGCCTCACTTGTATCAAACGGGCAAACTTTATTCATTCAGCTCTAGGACGTCTAGCATCGACTAAATTAGATACAAGATAGCTGATTGTTCGACTTTTAACAATAGCAATCATTTGTTTTGAGCAATGTTAGGTGAATTGAATCAGAGTTGATAAATTCTGTAAAAAATTCACTGCGGTTCACTTTTCTTAATTTGTAAAATTTAACATGTAAAAATCATAAAGAAAGTCTCATTTTGTAACTATTTGTTTGATTTACATTAAATAAGGTAAAGGTAGTAATCCTAAAGTTGTAAACTCAACAAAGAAACTTTAAAATATTAATTGTGCGGTAAACAATTCCACAACACATTTGTACCCGATTTCTATTTAATTGTTGAACTCATTTATTTTGTGACGTAACTAATGCATTATAATTAATGTGGTCTTTAAAATTCCTTTATTGAACGATCTAAAAATATCTATCAGGTTATTACTCGGTTCATAATGTACAATGTTGATCAAAAGACACATTATTTGAAGCTGACTACAGTCAATACACGTGTCTATATAATTTTAAAACCACATAACCAGCACGAAGTAATAGATAAAGTAGCGGTAGTTCCCGGTACCACTAGGACAACGGTGTCAGGTAAATGTGAACCATTAGCGTGAGCGTCCATCGAAGAAGGCGGCAAGCATGCGCGGGCGCAGGTAAGCGCTCGCCGCCACAACGCGCACCACAGCGAGACGGCAGCGCGGCCTCTACCAAGCAAACCGGTTTGATATCGCGCGCGAACACGAACCCTCTGTCGCAATGGCCGCTAACAGGTGTTTGTAGAAATTCCATCCGATAACCAAACAGGCAAACACTATCTTACTCTAAATTGCAACCATCACATGAACCCTTTAAATTTTAACTTCTCGCATCGACTGCTGGTCTGAAGTATAATTATACAAACACAAACATTGTTTAGATGACATCCGCTCCACAAACATAGGTATTATTGGTGTACGGACACCGCTAAGGAAGGACGAAAATGTATGTCAAATGAGGCACGTGCACAGCTGCATAAAATATGGAGAAAGTGCGTTGCCGAGCGCAGCCGCGGGGCAGACAGAGCTGTCGCATGGTCGTATATGTGACACGACCGCCATACCGAGCTCTATCAATGGGTTCACAGACCATCGTCGCTTTTACACGTTGCAGTCTCGCTCCAAATAACAAAGCGTGGCCGGATTTCCGATACTCTGTATTCCGTATCTATAGACGAAAGTGCCACTAATAATAGGACACACCCGCAAAATTTATATACAATAACTGACTACACACCTTAACATCATTGATTGATGTACACAAATGTTGTAATGTGTCTTTGAACCCAGAGTTCATCGTACAGCTTAAGATGAGAATGTATTGACGCAAATTCTAGCTGTTCCAAAATTTGTAGAGAAAGAAAGATTAGCATCTTCAGTCTGCTTGTGACCACACCGTCAAGCCTAAGAAGGTATTTAGATAATTACTTTCGCGTTAATACGCGCGTAATTTATGTTATAAATATGAAACGCGAAAGTTTAAAAGTTAGTGTAAGAAAGATTAATGTGCTAACGTCTCCACAAATAGTGTAGTGTATAAACTCCTGCTACCTACAACTTCTTATAACTCATATTCTAAGTTGACGTCCATGACGTATACGTAACTGCTACGCGTCGTTTTCGCCTTACGAAGCTGCTACCGTCTACTACAGGTCTACGCAGCGACTACGATGCGACTACGATGCGACTACGAAGCGACTACCCAGTGCTACATTGATTACACGCTATATACGACTACGCAATGAGTCGGAAACTCTGATTTCTTTTGTTCCTCAAGTTGGCTTATAGAGCCTGTCTCTTTCGCCTAAAGATGTCATTACAATATTAACCTTTTCTACGTAATTTAACTCTACATCATCCATTTACATAAAATCAATTACGCATTCTTCCTAAAAGTTATTTTTAACATATCTTAAATGTTTAAATAATATTACATTTACGATTAACAGTTAACTATAGGCATATTTACTTAGCGTGTATTTGTACCGTTACTCGCTACCATACGAAGGTACAATGCGAATTTGCCCTTGAAGTTTATACCGATTATTACCGATTCATTCGAATGGCAGTTAATTAAAGTGCCTCAATCGATCCGTGCTTATTTTAAACCATTAAAGTATTACTATTATCACTAGGTAAATGTTTTCAAATATCGTCAGAGATCAATATCTAAGAAAATAGGCATAAGAGTGTTAACAGTATAAATAAGCGATGAATGCGTTTGCCTGACACTGTTCTGTAAGTAGGGTGTTGTATCGAAGTCGATCCAGCAACGCAACGGTTGCGAAGTGAAATGCAATCAAGTAACATAACATTGGGGTCAATGGGTGCGTGCGGCGTGGCGTGCGCGGCACCGCGGCGTGGAGCTCGCGGTCGCTCAGCCAGCTTGCCCAAACGGTCTAGTCGGTTCATTGACCACAATTCCGCATAGGGTTCAGATTTGACTTCGTGAAATGGAAACCGATTCGTAACCTTAAAACTTAACTTTCACCTCCGATTTGCTTATGTGGGTACGTACGTGTTCATTAACGTTCAATATTCGGCACATACATCAAATTATTCTTAACGAAACTGTATTCGAATGTTTGAGGTACGCTCACAGAAAAATTGACGTTTAACTAGGTGTAGAATCATTAAATTTATTATACGTAAATAATACAGCCACCTATTTACGTGAAAAAGTACATTAATAAAAACCAGCTAAACAACCTCGTTATGTAACCTGAGCTATTGTCTTATACGGCATACGTATTTGTGTACAATTGTATTTTTATTTCTATTTAACGTAGAAGAGGTTCCGCGTCAAGTCGCTAACATCCAATTATCAAATACTGGTACAATGATGTTGGCCTTGAAAAATAATCTTATAAAATAAAATAAATATACCCACATAACACATTAACTACATGCCAATCGTCGCAGATTTGACGTTGAATTTTAATTTGGTGCTCGCTCACGCTCAAGAAAATGACGCAATCCACAGATCTAGTCAGACTTCGTTTTAAGCAAGCGAAGTGCCTGGCCACCAATTGAGCCGCATACTTTAATAGTAGCTACGAATGGCATTCACAGCAACAATATTGCATTAATACCTAAACTGTTTCAAGTTGCCTACCTCCGCATTCCCAACAAATATTTGACCACTGTATTCCTACAAAAACCGGTGCACAGATCGCTGTGACCGCAGATTGAACTTTAATATTTAATATCACGTTTAGAAAAGTGCACAAGCCAACTCAAACGGAATGATTCTCAAAGAAAGTTATTTCAATTTCATTGACCTTGATTTCGCAACCGTGACTGTACGGCAACGACAACGCAGCACGTACTGACGAAAGCGATGTTTACTAACAGATGAACACAACAACATGAAAAACTGATGCTGGTTGCGAATTGTGAAGGAAAGAAATACCTAACAGAAATTACGTTTTATCTTCTCGTAAAGTATTGGAGTCACGATTACGTATACGTGTCTTTTTCTCGTGACCTTCAGCGACTTGTAACGAAAGCTATACACATGTCTTAATATACATACGTATAATTATAATATCTGTCTAAAGATCACACGGAACATGAGCAGAAATAACGTTTTAATCGTTGATGAGTCTAAGCCACATTAGTGATGGGTTGAGACGCTGACGGCC